GGTCAGGTCATATGTTCATTTCCCCACTCCCACCCCACCTCCACGGGTCGGGTCCAGATCCCGGCCCCGGGTCCCAGGTTCGATTCCCCACACCAGCCTGAGTACCCTGGTCGAGTCGGGACCCCGGTCCCGGGTCCATGGTTCAATACTCCACACCGTCTCTGGTCCCTGGGTCGGGTTGTGTCCCCGGGTTGGCTGCGTAAAGGCTCCCCTGGGGAGTTCAGTTGTACCCAAAGTCTTCCTTTGGGGGCAATTTTTGATGGGCGAAAGGGGCTTTGTACGCCTTTGCTGGGGTCCTGCTTTAAATTCCTCTCAGATTCCGCCCAGGGATATATTTGGGATTAGAAAGGGATATATATATATACTGATATATTTAGGTTTAGAAAGAGGATACAGAAATATTTCCACATAAAGAGCCTGAAATACCCTAATTAAGCCCAAATCTTCATATATAGAAAGCCTGGAAGCATCACTTTCTAATGAAAAACAGCAAACCCCTTCAAAACATTGTATAAAATTGATTTTTGGCATGGAGGAAAGGGTTAAAAAAAATCAAGCTTTAATGATGAAATACTGTCCTTTAACAAAACAAAAGATCTAATATAACTATTTCACCACAGAAAACTAGCTTCTTGGCAGTAAAACTGCAGCCCAGTCCATTTAGAAAAATATGTTTACTTGGAGCAATGAATTCTATTGTTGGTGTAAAATCAGACAACAATTAATTCTGATGCCCGCACAGGAATCTATGTGTAGTCAGAAAGAAAATCAGGGCACGGGCCTGTAATGAAGAAATCTGCAGGTGCTCTACAGAAACAGAATTCCCTTTGTGGAGAAATACAATGTGTTTTTGACTTCCAATTTTATGGAAGATTTGAAAGCTTGTATTTTCTTATAAAAAGCCATTCTACTCAAAGATTCTTAATACCAAAACAATTTTCAAGTTTCTCTTAAAAAAAAAAAAGTGCAAGGACAGGTCTGAGAAAAGAAAACAGTACGTTCGTGTTACCTGATCTTTATAGAGTAACCATCATTCCTCAGTGAATAAAACACAGCTCCATCATTTCAAGGACAGACTGCACTTGCGTTGTCTGGAAAGACCTTGTGTAAAAGCTTTTTTTTTTTTTTTAAGAATGAAAAAACAAAATGAGTCATTTACATCATCAAATTCTTCTTTCTACATGGTGCACACCTGTAAAACAGCTCAAGATATTAGTAACAGCAATTAACTGAATGCCACTTTCATTCAGGTACTTCAATTATAAGAAGCTCAGAATAAATAATACTTTTTACTTCATTTTCAGCCTGAAGCTCTCATTGGTTACCTACCTTTAGAATGCCACAAAAAGTACTGTTTCATGAACTGAGAAAAGAAAACATACATATGTCAAAGATGTAAGCATCACCAATCAGGCTAAGCAAGCCAGAACAACACGGGATCTGTAAAGATTAATCACCAATACTTTCCAGCCACATTTTACCACTAGAAGCAGTGTTTGTGACATTCCTACAGAGCTCACAGATCTGTAAGAAAAGGTGAGGTAAGGAACAGTCTGTCTGTCTTCACTTCAAGTCAATGATGTCCTCATCATATAAAGAAGTCAGATGGAACGGATAGCTAGATGGTGAGCTCTCCTTTCTGTTTGCTACAGTATCAGGATCTGAACTAGTGGAAAGATGATGACTCTCAGAAAAGCTTTCAAAAGAGGCTGAGATTATTCTGCAAAGATGAAGACAAAAGTTACTGAGAAACAATACACAGGTAAGGGCAAGCAGGGTCAGTGGCTATTTCTGCATACAATCAAGTTATCCTAAAGGCAGAGACAAACCATTAAAACTGAATTTCTCTCTGTTTTACTCTGCTTCCACACCAGGCTAGCACTGAACCAGAGCCTTGATAACAACTCATATTAAAACAGAGATTACATACATCAGATTATTGCCCGAAGGTAATGTTATTGAATGCTCCCCTCCATATAATTTTCCAATAGTGGAATAAATATAATAAAGTTTTACATTGCAGTGGATTGAAAAAAAATAATTTCAGTCTACTGTATCTTGGCTGAATTCTGCTGCTACTTATCACAAATGCAGCTTATAAAAACAATGAAAAAAACACAATGGCAGGGGGTCTGGTAAGCAGATACAAACAGACATATGCAATAGTGTTTCTTTACAAAATTTATTTTGGAGATAATGAGACCCAAGGATATGAAGAAAACAGCAAGTGAGTCTGCACAGTGCAGATGCTGTAGGCCTGATGACTACAAGGTCCCCACAAAGTCCCATTTAGTCTTGCTTTTCTCATATCTTTAGCAAGAGGTATAACCATTTCAGTACTGATAGTATTCAGATACTATAATACACATTAGGATGAAATTCTCAGTAGTATACAAGGGCCTCAGTCAGTCTATACTGAACTAATATTAGAGTAAAAAGGTTGAGAAACAATCAATTCCCAAAATACTTACAGTCTAACTAAGGTTATTTTCTAAAGCCCATATATTTACCTGTCGCTACTAGTTGATCTTACCACTCCCTGCTTGGGATCTGACTGTCTTCAAGGAGCCTTTTTTTGCTTCTGTGCACCTTCTGTCTTGGGAATAGATTAATCCAGAAGGCCTCAGTAAAGGAATAAAAGTCTTAATACTCTCAAAAGGAAATAAAACATTCACAAAAAACATTGTGATCTCTCTTGATGGTTTTCATTACTAACTAAAAAGTTCCTAGCTGGCTTAGAATATGGTTACAATAGAATCATCATAGAATGGCTTGTGTTAGAAGGGATCTTAAAGATCATCTAACTCCAACCCCCCTGCCATAGATAGGGACGCCACCCACTAGATCAGGTTGGCCAAAGCCCCATCCAGCCTTGCCTTGAACACCTCCCGGTATGGGGCATCGACTTCTCTTGGTAACATGTTCCAGTGCCTCACTACCCTTACAGTGAAGCATTTCCTCCTAATCTAATCTAAACCTATCTTCTTTTAGTTTAAGACCACTTCCCACATTCTATCATTATCTACCCGAGTAAAGAGTCCTTCTCCATTTTTTACAAGACTCCTTTAATTATTGAAAGGTCACAGTGAGGTCCTCCCTGTAACCGTCTCTCCTCCAGGCTGAACAGTCTCAGCTCTCTCAGCTTTTCTTCATAGGAGAGGTGCTCCAGTCCTCTGATCATCTTTGTAGCCCCTCCTCTGTACTCGCACTAACAGGTCCAAATCTTTCTTGTGCTGGGGGTCCAGACCTGGATGCAGTACTCCAAGTGAGGCCTCAGAAGGGCGGAGTAGAGGGGGGACAATAATCCCCTCCCTTAACTGGCTGGCCACTCCTCTGTTGATGCAGCCCAGGATGCAGTTGGCCTTTTGGCCTGCAAGTGCACGCTGCTGGTTCATGTTGAGTCTTTTGTCCACCAGAACTCCCAAGTCCTCCTCTGCAGGTCTGCTCTCAATTAGTGCTTCTCCTAGTCTGTCCTCATATCTGGGATTTCCCTGACCCAGGTGCAGAACCTTGCACTTGGACTTGTTGAACCTCATTAGGTTCACGTGGGCCCACTTCTCCAGCCTGGAATTTCACCTGAAATGCAGAAGGAAAAAAGAACGTTACACTTTCATACCAGTATCAGTTCTAAATACTTCTAATGAAAAGTTATACAGAAAAGTTATAAACATTATGTGGGGTGCTTTTTAACCCAAGTAACAAAGATCTTCCCTGTACTGTATCTTTCACTATAAATAGGCTAGGAGGAGGAAGAAATACGTCCACATTTGGCAGACTGACAACTTGGCTTACTGAGAAAAAGCATATTGCCTGTCTTAAAAACTGAAATTCAGATTCCTTTCTCTTTTCCTCTTCTGTCAACAGTGCAGCAGCAGATTTAAATACATCTAAATGAACAAGATCTACATACATCTTGCATTACCTAGTTGGTGTTCCTTTGTTTCTCTATTATTTATCCCTGTAGATCGATTGTTCACAGATCATGTTACACCAAATTTACTGTGCATTTATTAACTTTAAATTTATTAACTCTTTTGAGACTGGAAATACTTCTTGCCTTTAGTTTTCATTAGTTTAATTAGCTATCATAAATTAATTAGCTGTTCATAAATGAAAGGAATGGCATATGTGAAGTCTGAAAGTTTTCCCACAATTTTATACCTCTTTTTGCTTTATAGTCTTGGCCATATTGCCAAAGGCTCATTAAGGTAGTGAAGCTTAATTCTTCCCCTCCTACAGACATGATTTCTTCCAAACAGTGCTGCTGTGCATTCAGAAGAGATACTATGGGGCAAAAGCTCAGCCAGGTGTTTCAGATCTCTGGATAAGGTTTCCATCTTCCAGACTCTCAGCCATGAAAACAAAATCTTTTAACTGATTGATATCATTTTACTAAAGATAATAATCAAAGCTTCAAGCAGCCTGGAAACCATGTTACCTTCTCAAGAAGAAAGAGGACATTCTGGTATTTCATAAGCCGGCGGTGCTTGAGGAGAACTTGAACTCATTTCCTTAGAACTGCTATGAGACGATCCCCTTACTGCAGCAGTAGCTTTCAAATAAATATCTGACTGAAATCACAAAGAACTCATCATTAGTACAGCAAAACTTTCTTAAACACTTGCTGAAGAAGAGCTTAAATGTTTGTCCACTATGTTCTATTGCCATTGTTGCTGTATTGCTGCTAAGTTAACTACAGCTGGCCACAGAAAGGCTATCTCACTGTAAATGGGGAGAACTTCTGTGATGTTCAGAAGAGCATTTGCCCTGTAAATAATCAAATACTTCAGCTCTGCATTACTGCAAGCAATAAAGGACAGTTAGATCAATTCTGATTCTCACTGTACTCACTACAAGCTAAGATCACACAAATTAACAGTTCATGCAAATCAGAAAATGTGTCAGTTTTGCTTTGGTTTGGGCTTCAGCAACTCTTTATGCGAATTAGGTCCCAACACCTCACAAATAGTCAAACATGCTTTTCTCGTGTCTTATCCATGATGCTACAAGCTGAAGCTCAGGCACAACTGCTGTGTGGACTAAGTTTCCACTCACCACTAATCGGATCTCAATGGAATCAGTAGTGAAGGCAAGGATAGAAGGGAAAGCACAGACTGCAATGAAACAAAAATTATTTTTCAAGGAAGAATGATTAATGTAAATGTTTCTCAGATGCTCCCTGAAAACAATTCTTGAGTATCTAACCTACTCTGGTATCTCCCTTTCCTATGACAAAATTTGTCTACTGTACTGATGGACATTCAGATACAAGCCTGAAGAAAACTTCACTCTCCATGCCTGGCAGAATATAAACTGAATGGAAAATAAAAAACAGAAAAAAAAGAGAAAGGAAAAAAAAAGTTTATCAGAGGAAAAACTTGGCCCCAAGACTCCACTTATTAAAGATACCATATGCAGAATCTTAGCTGAAGTGGCATCATGAATACAATACACTTAGAGAATCACAGAATCATCTAGGTTGGAAAAAACCTTCAAGTCCAACAATCAACCTGACCTACCAAGTTCCATCATTATGTCCCTTGGTGTTGCAGGAAGCACGGCTGAAAGCACGACAGACACCAGTAGAGTCAGATCATGCTCCATTTTATTGCCCGAATAGCCTTTTATAGTGAACTTAACAGGGGTGGATAGTGTTTCACACAAAATTATTGGTCAAAAGCACTCAGACAAACAACTACAAGAAAACAACCCCACCTGCAAGAAAACAACCCCTCTTGTGATTAGCAGTCACACAGACCTTGTCCTTGAAGCCAGAGGCTGGTACCAATATTTTTCTAAATTCCTCAATTGGCCAATGTGGGAACACTGTCATGGGAACTTCTCATAGTTGCCCTCGTAGCTTGGTTTGCTCAGCTGCAGCAAGCCATGGGATTTTTGCTGTTTCAAAAAATCCTTCAACACCTTGGTGTTATGTCAACACCTCTCCAGGGATAGGGATTCCACCACTTCCCTGGGCAGTCCATTCTAATGGTTAACCACCCTCTCCATGAAGAAATTCTTATTTATAGGAATTTATTAACCCATATTTATTAAATTTTATTATATTAAAAATAGATTTATGTATGTTAAATTATTTTTAATTTTATATTTATTCTTATATATTCCTAGCACACATTCTGAAATTCTACCAACAGCCAAGTGCAAGCCTAAATAGTAATGAAAAAAGGGTAAAAGAGGTATGTTCTTACCAACAGCATAAGGAACTTGATTCCAGCTAAAGTGAAAGTCGTAAGCCGATGACTGGACGAGTGGAGAACCTCCATTAAAAGGATACACCTTTCTGTATTGGCAAACATCTGTAACAAAAAAAAGGAAAAAAAGAAACCTCCAATATCTTACAGCACAAATGACAAACACCAACATTATAGGTAGATTTTACAGAAGTGTGGATAATACACAGATAAATATCAAACACTTATGTAGAAGTCCCTCTATATCTAAACAGACCATAAGGGAAATGTGCTTCCTTTGTGAATACATTTACAAGATACAAATAGTAGAGCTACATTTTAATAACTTGTCAGATTTCACAAAGTAAGTATTGGTCTGTTTCAGCAATCATCAACTTTGTCTATGGATAGAGGAATAGTTAAGAACATTTCTGAAAGTGATGTAAGCAGAGCTGTACCCCTCTGACTGTAAGAACTACCCTTCAAGCAGCCACATACTAGCACAGTTTGTGTTCTTTGAGGATTGCAATACACATGGGATACTACGGATACCAAGATTTCATTAATCATATAACTTGTGAATCTACTACTTCTCTATTTTTAGGTAAAATCCTTTTTTTTTTTTTTTTTTTTTTTTTTTTTTCTGTAATTGGTGTCCTTAAACTTAAACTAACTTTATATCCACAAGTGTAAAAAAAAGGTCTTGTTTGAAACCCAAACTTAGAACACTGTCAAATCATGTGTTTTCATACTTGTTCCATGATGATACTTTCATAATTGTAAAACTGTCACAAGACCAAAAAAGGTTTCCCTGTGACAGGGCCCTACAAATAGGGATTCAAGTTGCTGCAACCCTGTGCAACAGGCTTTAGGACCTTAGGATCAACCAAGTTTGTTAGCTTTGGCTCTGTGACGAGCCTACTAGAGTAGGACTGATTCTGCACAGAAGTACAGGTTTGGGAATTCACACTACTCTGTCTCAGACCTTTTAGTTCTTAAGCAGTACTGAGTGAGCCAGAACTAGGTAGGATTTGTTAAACTACCGAAACCAATGAGGCCTCACAGAGCATACAAAGATACGCTTTAGAGACTTTTTCCCTGTAGTACCAATCTAACGGCCAATGCTAGAATACGTAGATGTATTTATCCTGTTTCCATCAATGCTCTCTTTGGAAAGGCAAATAGGACATGCCATCTGAAACAGAAAGCTGTGCTTTGTCCTTCAGCATCACCTCATAAAGGACGTTTCATACTCATAACTTTGATTTTCCTGAGGACTGAAAGCAAAACTACATGTGTACAGCACAGAAGAGCATATGCATATTAAATCCAAGGCCGTTTTATAAAAAGAGATTAAGAGAGTTACAATTTTAAAATGTGCCAGCACAAATAAGTGTGCAGAAGGAAAGAAAGCACAATGACAGAATGGGAAAGCACAAAGAAGAAAACGGATGGAATACTAATTTGTACATGTCCTAGAAACACCCAGTGTGAGACTAGGCAAAGAATAAGATAGATCTGAAGAAATAGGACTTTTGTGAGTAAGATGGTAACGGCTGTCCAATTACACACACCACAATAAAGCAGTACTTCCATTTCTAGTCCTTCTAATATGCACTTAAATTGAAAAAAAAAAAAAGTATTTTGGAATACTTTCCATGAAACACTGAAACTTTAAAATACACATCTAAACTCCAATGAAGAAAGAATTACATGTTGAGATATTATCATTTCCAGTCTTTCCTAACTACTTACAGTTATAACATAACAGTAGGCCAGCTTCACCATCTTCATATACATCAACAGCTGCAACAAAATTTACCTGCAATGATAACAGGAAAGGGTAATGATCAGGCAGATAAGATACAGATGTTACTATGACCAGGTTTTGACTAAGAAGCAATCAAATCAGTTGGTGCATAATTACAGATAAAAGAAAAAAAAAATATTTATTTTTTGTGATTCATTTTCAGGATGCTGATAGGATGGAAATCAATTTCTTTTGTATTCAATGCTGTATTTCAGTAATGCATATTCAATTTTGTAACTTCAGTATAAATACATACCTACAGTATAAAATGATACAAACATACCTAACTTACTTGACAATATAAATTTTGGGAAACTGAGTTATTTCAGGGTAGCTTTGAATTAACATGCTATGCTAAAAATAGCAATTCTTTCCAAAAAGTGAAATCTAAAAAGCTCGACTGAAAATCTTGACTAGCAGAAAGATCAAAAGTGCCAATTACTGGATCAAAACCACTAACAGGTACATTGATTGATGTGGATGTACTTCAAGAATTACTGAATAAGCTGAATTTAGAAACTGAGAACCACTGCTGGATAAACTAAAATGGTTTTTGCATAGCATAGGCTACTTATATTCTCATACTTTAATCCTGTATTTGTCTTTTACAGTTAAATTAAAAGAAAAACAAGACACCCATAAGTATATACATTCAGAAAAGGAGACCTCCCTGATGAAATACTTAAGACTGGATTAGACAAATGTCTCCTAGACCACATTATTTGCTACTTGGGCAGGGCTGGAGATTGACTTCATGAACTTCATGGCTTTCCTTTGTGCAATAAAGTACGTGTTCTCTTGATTTAAGACAAATATAAGGCAAGAACTGTTAATCAAATCTGGAAGCTTATATATATCTATAAAAAACACATTTTGACCTATCCTTTGTAGCAACTGAAAGACATTTCTGCTTTGTGACCTGTGGAAATAATTTGGTAACCAATTTCAACAACACAAAAATCACTGGCACAGGTCTAATCAACTTCCTGCTTTGTCTGTGTTCTCAAAGGAAATAAGGGTTACTGGGGAAGAGAACAGAGGGGGGCGATTCTTGACTGTCCACATTCTTTAATTGTATTTCCTTCTTAATCCAGATTAAAATATATTCCCATTGCTGTGGAGAATCTTAACACTGTATTGCCAATGCTAGGAGTACCAACCCTCTTCATCATCAAATCTGAATAAAAACACAGATGATTTAAAAAAAAAATCAACAAGAAGCATCAAATCAAAAGAGATGTCCCTTATACCATTATGAACAGAGAAGTCAACAGAACACAAGAGTAACCCTGTAAAAGGTTCTTCTTTTTTTTTTTTTTTAATTACGCTTAAAGCTATACATTCACATCCATATTAAGAAATTATTGAAATTATTTGATTTTCAAAATGCTGAAGATCATTATCTTCCCAGCAACAGGAAACATTTGAACCCTTTTCCAAAAATCAGGATGTTTACTTAAATCCCAACCCTATGTCCCAGTTAGTAAGATACAGTTAATGTATTACTTGGCTGGGCAGCAGTTTAGAACTAAAAGATATACGCAAATATTTCAGTTTTAGTACATGCAAATAGGCAAATCTGAATGAGATAATGGTGGCCAAAACCTGAAATTATTTTGCTGCAACCTCCTAAAGAATAAAACACTGAGACCATGAAGAAAAGACAAAAATCAAAATATTGACTAAGGAAGGAGAAAAAATGGCTTTGCATTTATACTGACAACAATATTCCAGAGCTTGAAACACAGGCTCTTTCCTAATATGTCATACCTTATAACTACCTCTCTTAGGAGTGATTATTATCACACATTCCAAAAAGAAAAAATGCCTCCGAGTACTCTAAAGTAGAAGTTAAAAAAGTGAAAAGTAAAGGAGAAGAGAGGTTCTCCGTAAATGCTGCTCCCAGGAGGTCAGCACAGCATGGACCTATTCTGCAAGAATATAGTTTAAATGCTAGAAATTTACTTTGTTTGCTTCAACATGATGCAGTCTATAGGACTCCCCAATACTTTCATTAACTAAATCAAACTGATGCCGATACGCCACACAGATCATATCGTCACTGTCTCCAGTAGGTCCATCCACCAGTGTCATAACCACTGGAGGGTCAGAAAGGCGTATTTCCTATGAGATAAATAATAGTATTATTCTCTTTTTCAGGCTCTTAGTGTGAATATTGAATTACTCCATGAATTTACAAGGATGTAATCTAAGCAGAGAAGCATGATACAGAACAAGATGACAGTTTAAGAAGTCTGAAATATTTCTTTGGCATATCAGTGATGGATCTCCATCGTATTGCTTCTCACTTACATCTGTCTGGAGGTTCCAGACGATAAAATGCATGCTCTTTGCCTTTTTCCTCCACTAGCTGAGTGTTGCCCAGTCTGTAAAAGTGATTAGTGATTAGATTACACATACCCAGATGTACTGGAACTCGTCTACTGGAGATTCAGGTAATGACAGCAGAGAGCTGCTGGCTAAACTGTTGCATGGATTGTATTTCTTTGTGATAAGAAGTAGTTTGCTCCCAATAGCCACAACAATCCTCAGTTCACTGCCATGGTGAGTATTAATGGCATACAAATGGCAGCCTAAGAAAAAAAAAAAATTAGGTTGTAAGTATTTGGGGTAAAGACTGTTTTTTTTTATTTTTTAATTTTTGTTCTGTATTTGTATGATGGTTAGTACAATGGGTATCTGATACCTGAGCACCACACAATTACAAACATCCCAACAGGATAATATTAAATTCTAGAAAAAGACAAAAGGCAGTAAGTCTTTTGAAAACTATTTTCCCCCTTACTCCTTTTGCAAGTATAAGAGTAAATATATGTTTTTTTCTTTACTATTCTGCAGTTTCCAGCTTTCCAAGGAAGCTTGATGCTGAATATCGGAAAATGTTTACATCTACTAAAATAATCTGCAATACCCAAACTATTCTAAGCATTACTAATTAAAAAAGATTTGCCATTGTTCTTCTACCTCACAGTGACCTTTATTTCAGTCTTACATCCATGCGTAATTTTTCTTATACCCCTCAATCCTGAAAGCAACATATCTGTTTTTCACCAGAGCTTTTCATCAGCAGTGATTGCCAAGTAACATGGTATTTTTTTACCAAGTTCTCAAATGATAGGCTGGACTGTACCCTATGTTATTTTCACACATAAGCTTAAAGTTTGAATTAACTGTCCAGGGATAAAACTAAAGGTGAATACCTACAACAGCCTCAAGGGAGCTAATAAACCCTGGCAACTACTGGCACAATACCACAGTGGACACTTTTAATACAAGATAATAAAGCTACCTTTTGTTCTCTCCAATTTATTTTCTCTGCAGTCATATTTGCTTCTTATCATCTGCTTTGTTTCTGTATCTTTTTGGACAGCACTCAATCTGAAGACAAGGAGACGAGAGTCTTTTCCTGAAGATGGAGAAAGTCAGAAAACAGCAAATTAGAAAAAGACAGTGGTGGTTTGAAATTAATACTTCCAAAGAGATGAATCACCTAACAGACAGCATTGCCATAAAAGCAAAGTTAAACAATTTTGCTTCTCTGAGTGTAAGCAGCAATGTGACAGGAAGACTGCTTGTGAACTCTATCTAGACTCTACAGTTCCAGTAAGCAACCCTTTCAGTTCACTAGCAGAGTTTCCCATCAGATGGTGCTGTGGCAATAAATAATAGGAGCCTCAAAACAGTGAAACCTACACTGCTAGGAGACGGTGAAAATACGACAGATACAAACTAAAGGCAAGAGAAGAAGGGTTAACTTTAAATTCTGGAACCATCCAGCCTAGCAGCTGATACCTGGATCCTTAATAGAGTCTGAAAACCTTTTGGATGCGGACTGGTTTTGCTTATCAGTTCTTCAAAGTTAGGCAAGTTAGGTTCAAGGCATATTCCAACTGCAAAAATAGCACAGCATCCACCACCACAGCTAAATGTTTTTTTCCACAAAGATAGACATGAGTGGAATACACAACTCTGAAATTTAAAATAAATAAATAAATAAATGATACACTACTATTTGCAGTTGGAAATAAGCTATTGTTAAGAGTAGTTTCTTAACTAAAAGCCAAGTTCCTTAAAATGGAAGTAAAACAAGATTTTCTGACAAAAGTATACTCTCTTACTAGTCTAGCTGGTATAGCTGGAAACATAAGCACGCTTTCTTAATATACATGTATAGTCAGTGTGGATCCAACCATAAATACAAAAGCAAGATCACATGTGCTGCCTTCAATTCTGATAATAGATAAACATGAATCCAGCTTCTGGAACCTTTATGACCTTCTTTTCCCATAGAAAGTGTAAGAGAAAAGAAGATGCAATGTTTCCTTAAGTCCACCACAACTTGAAACACTGATCAACCAGCAAATTCTTACTGTCAACACCGATAAAAGGAAAATGAAATATATGCAATCTCTCTCTTTTCAAGAACGTACATACAAGAATGCGTGCTTCCATGAATGAGTTCATGGAGGAAGAATGGCAAGCAAAATTCACCCTTTTGAAAGGAAGGCTAGAAAACATAAGCTAAATCAAATGTTCAAGAACAGCGTTACTACTCATTAATTCAGCTCTGTCTCTTTGTCAGGTGTGTCCTATAGGATGCATCCTAGAGATTGCACTCCTCAATGCGTTCCTCTTTCAGGATACTAGTTGTTTTGCAAATGTCCCAAATAACCCCACTGCGGTGTTACATCTGTGGCTGCTCATGAAACGGACTATCATCCAAGCTTTTCTTTGGTGTCGTTTTTTTTAAGAGAGTTTTTCTTCACCTCCTACAGACTTGATTATTCCAAGTGAAGGAGCTCTTCCTCCTTCCCCCTCACCATGTCTAAGTGTTTCACAAAATAAGTTGTAGCAAAAAAATAAACAAACATGTTTGGAGGACAAAGTGGATCCACTTCTATAACTCATCTCTCATTACTAAGTCAAATTTAATTAACATTAGAAAAGAGAGCACTGCTACCAAAGCAATTTCTGCATCTGTCATTAATACCAGATGTATTGTTGGTGCCTGAAATACCCCCTTCTTTTGGTATGCTGACCTGAAAAATCTCAGTGATAGCATTACTTCAGTTCTAGTTTCACTGTTAACATTTCCTCTCTCCCAGAAATGCAGAGGGTACTAGAAAGCAGTAGAAACAGGATTTTCTTCTGAAATGAGCTACCTTAAAGTGATCTCAAACCTGGTTGTTAGAACGGAGTGCTGGATAATACCACATTCTATAGGAACATTTTCATAACACAAACATCAGTCTTTCTGCTTGAGTCTTAAAATACCAGTTCTACATCGATGCACTTGAAGTACATCAGAAGGACGCATTTAAAGTACATACAAAATTAACCTTTTAATATATTATTGTATCCTAAAAACCCATATAGTCTTTAATACCAATTTGTACACCCAATATAAGATTGCTTTTACCCATCTAACATTTAACTAGACTAAGGCATAGTCTGAAAATAAAGGGCAATGATAACTTCCACTCCAGATCTCAGTTTCACTATGGTATACAAATACAAAACAAGAGGCAAGGATACTAGCAAGAACAAAAGACCTTTCTCTCCTCTAAATGATTCAGAAAGCACCCACAACAGCAGTCAAAAATCTCTTCAACTTTTTACACAAAAACTCTTTATCAAAATATGCTTGAAGCATCATGAATTGATGCCAGTAATGCCTAATCCTGTTACCTCAAAATGGCTTGTAACATCTCTCTCTTCAGGTTTAACCAATCATCACAGCGTTTTGACTATTAAATGCAATTATCTATTCTAGAAGTTTCATAAACTAAGCTTCAGATACAACAACCCTTTTCAGATCTTCAAAAATGTCACCCACCCGCCAGGTGTCTTCAGAGATGACTGCAAATGCCTCTCAGGTAATCTCAGCTGGTTCTGCAAGGGTTCCAGGATGAATTTCATCAGGTCCAGCCAAAATCGGCAACTCCCAATGGTATGAAAGGAACCACATTTTACCCTTAGCTTGGGTAAATGTCACTTCAGCTAATATTGAGCAAACAGACATAATGTGGTAAAAAACAATAAAACAACCAGATTTCTAATTATTTTATCTGTGTTACACATACAGATCCTGTTCTTGCACTGTGCGTATTCACTTCACAGACTTTTGGGTAAAAAGTACATAACTGAAAAAGTGCATATTTTAGGGACATTTAATCCTTTTGAAAAGAGGGTAAAAAAAAAAAAAGTTGTTTGGACAGACAGGTTTTAAGTTTTTTTTTTTTTTTTTTTATACCAGAATATTTAAGAGAATATAATCTATAGCACTAGAATGTAGTTACACATCACAGAACAAAAACCAGTAACACATTTGGTAGAACAGTGACAGCATAAGTAATTTCCTCCACGTTTTTGTACAACTGAACAAACACATTATTCAGCTAGGGAGATTTCCAGAGTGTTGAGTTCTAAGAGTAGCTGGAGACCAACTATATACTGGTGGATGACAAATCTGGCGTGAGCCAGTAATGTCTACCTTCAGCCCAGAAAGTTAATCATATCCTGTGCTGCACAAAAAGAAGTGTGGCCTAGAAGGTCGAGGGAAGTGATACTCCCCCACTTCACACTGCCCCTGTAAGATACAACCTGGAGTACTGTGTTCAGCTCAGGTGTGCCCAGCACAAGAAGGACATGGACCTGTTAAAGTGGATCCAGAGAAGGGTCACAAAAATGATAAGAGGGCTGGAACACCTACAAGAAAGGCTGAGGAAGCTGTGTTCTTTTAACCTGGATAAAAGAAGGCTCTGAGGAGACGTTATTGTGGCCTTTCAATACTTAAAGGAGGCTTATAAGAAAGAGAGAGAGAGACATTTTACAAGGGCACGTAGTGACAGCACAAGGCGTAATAGTTTCAAACAGAAAGACGGTAGATTTAGCAAAAAATTTATTCCTTTTATCTAATCTATGAGAGTGGTGAGGCACTGGAACAGGTTGCCCAGAGAAGATGTGGATGTCCCATCTCCTGAAGTGTTCAAGGTCAGGCTGGATGAGGCTTTGGGCAACCTCATCTACTGAAAGATGTACCTGACCATGGCAGGGAGGTCGGACTAAAAGGTCTTGAAAAGTTGTTTCCAACCAAAACCATTTGATGATTCAATATGGCCAGTTTCAGGTTTGCTCTGAAGCATGATTCTGAGCATCTAGAGATTTTTTTCCACACCTTTTAGAAAAACAAGCAAACAAACAACAAACAGTACTTGTTGTATGCACTCCCTTATTCTAAATGAGGCATCTAATGCACTTGCCACTGATAAAAACATGATTACCTCAAGACACTTACAAACCCTAAAGCCATAGGGCATGTACGTAAGCAGCCCAGGGGAAATCAGCAAAGGGAAAGTAGTGGAAAGATCTGAAAAGGAGAACAATAAACTCAGAGCTCAAAAACCTAATTACAATAATTAAGAATAGCTATGTGATGTGACAAAAGGACAAAAGGTGATTATATAAATCTAGTGCTGTGGGAATTAAAATTCTACAGCATGCTTCCAAGTTAAAAAACAAAAACAACTCTTAAAGAAAAGCACCTAAGGCATTCCCTTCTACTGATATGTCTGCCAAATAAACAGTTAAACAGACATTCAAATAAGAACCAAATAACAAGGACCTTTCCTACTTTCGTCTGTTCGGGCAATCAAAACATCCAGAGCTTCCAACACATGCATCTGCTTTATTTGGAGAGTTTTATCAAATACTTGAACTGATGGCTGACCATCTAAAAAAGAAAACACACGTATTTCTTTAAAATTCTGCTAAAATTTGGTAGTCAATGGTTCTGAACTATTTCTTTCTAATAAAATAAGTCTTGTTTTTTCTCATGAAAATAAAACATTCTGCACAAAGCTCGTATGTATGCTGCAGCATCATAACCAGTACTTCCTTATAGGAGTGTTTTATCATTGCCATGGATGAAATTATGCAACTGAAGCCTGAAAGGGACCTTTCTTTCGAAAGTCTGAAAATTTTCACTGATAACTAACTTCATTCCCTTAGTCTCAATGGCCTTATGTGGCACACAGAAGATAAGAGGTCAAACTAGTAAAAGCACTGCTATGGAAGAAACAGGCTTTCATCACCACATAAGCCTTGTGCTTCATGTTCATTAGTATCATCAAGGGCTAAAAAATCTGGACGCTCCTTGAGTTTGGGTTTGACTTCATAAATCTTTTCAGATGGCCATGATAACAGCATCTGAAATAACAAAACATTCAGAAATCTGCACAAAAATTGGTTCCAAATAAGAATTCTGATGCAGAGAAAAAATCTGCAGCTAGATTACATAAATGTAATAGATTCACTTGGATTGGTACTCTCCTTGCAGGTGAGGACTTACCAATTACCTAAACAGAGCTTATTAACATTTATTTTGAAGAAAATGGTCAGCTACATAAATAATTGACACAAGAACACAGCATCATTTACTAACCATCAATTAACAAGATGCCAGTGTCTGTAGAAACCAGCAAGGACTGGCCCCAGGAATCTGCACAGACAACTTCATGAGGAAAATTACTGCAGAAAGATTGGGACTCCCAAGGCTATGATGTAACATAAGGGATACATATTAATTATACTAAGAAATACTGATCATATAGACACGAATGAGATGTGACATGTAAGAACACGTAAATACTTTTGGCAGGGTACATTTCTTAAAAGTATATTTTTTGAATTTGAAATAAGAAAATCTAATTAATTTTCTTGAAGAGAAATACTCTCCCTACCAATTGGATTTGGAGACTAATAAGTATGATACACTCTTGGAACACTGGAATTAAAACCCAAGCAGCTGATATTCAGTGCAACCCTGGAAATTTCTTATTAAACAATTAAAATACAGACTTAAAATATATGCACCACCATGCATATACAGTTTGATTTCATTTCATGGTTCATTTGTGATATTTAGACATGGTACTGCTAAAACTACCTTTCCCCAAAAACGTTCTTTTGTCATGTGTTCTCTGTACTTACCTCCCAAGTTCTGTCCCCTCTCCCCTCTCTTCTCTAATATTAAGTATTAAGCTGCAGTCTGAAATTCTACAAGCACTTCTGAAGTTTCTATATATAACATGCACCTAGAAAAGTGTAATTTACATTTTTCACTCCTATGCCTTGTAAAAAAAAATGTAGTTACAGGAAATAAAAACACAACTAAATTTTGCTTTAAACTTGATAAAGATGTTAAAATAATCAAAAGATGATTGGTTATGGAAAATATTATGGTTTTTTGTTTTGTTTTTTTCTTTCATGAAATATGATCAGATATAAAAATATCCAGACTTGCATTAGCATGAGAAGTACTATTACCTTCAGGCTCATCCTTTATTCATTTGCTATGGGCTGAAGAATCACTTTAACACACTATAAGTTACAACTTTGCTGCTATAGTATCTAATCAGAAAAGTAAATAAACAATATATACAACTGATATACAGTGCTATGCTCAATTGAATTTAGTGGTTGTTTTTTTTTTTGAACTCTCCTTACACAAATGGGTTCACTCACCTCCTTTTTACAGAAGCTGGTGGTTGCCAGGGTAGGTGGTGTATCCCCTTTCACAGTGGTTTTCAATTTCAGCGCCTAATACAAACAGGTATTTTAATTAAATTAAGCTTTTGTCACTAATATATAACCTAAAGCCTAAGAAGAAAGGACAACTTAGGATGACAAAGTAGTTTACAGCTTGGAATTGCTATTACAGTTATTAAGAAAGAAGGGGAATTATCTATACCCTGAAGAAAGACTGCACTGATCACTATGGAGCTGCAGCCAAAGCCTACATAGCTTATAAAAAAAAAAGGAAGCTCAAAATATGAAGTGTCCAACATAGTAATCAACAGAACGACAGCATGAAATCATAGAATGGCTTGGGTTGGAAGGGACCTCAAAGATCATCCAGTTCCAACCACCCTGCCATAGGCAGGGACACCACTCACTAGATCAGGTTGCTCAGGGCCTTGTCCAATCTGGTCTTGAACCAAGGATGAGGCATTCACAACCTCTCTGGGCAACCTGTTCCAGTGCCTCGCCACCCTCCAAGTGAAGTATTTCCTCCTAACCTCTAATCTAAATCTCACCTCTTTTAGTTTAAAGCCATTCCCCCTTATCCTGTCTTTATCTGATTAAGAACAGTTGTTCCCCATCTTTTTTTTTACGTCCCCTTTAAGTACTGCAAGGTTGCAATGGGGTCACCCCGGAGCCTTCTCTTCTGTAGGTTGAAAAGCCCCAGCTCTCTTAGCCTTTCTTCATAGAAGTGTTCCATCCCCTTGAGCACTTTTGTAGCCCCCCTCTGGACCCGCTCTTAAAAGATAAACATCCTTCTTGTTCTGGGGGGCCCAGACCTGGACACACTACTTCAAGTGGGGCCTTAGAAGGGCAGAATAGAGGGAGACAATCCCCTCCCTTAACCTGCTGGCCATTCCTCTGTTGATGCAGCCCAGGATTCAGTTGGCATTCTGGCCTGCAAGCATGCACTCCTGGCTCATTTCGCTTTTCATTCACCAGAACCCCCAAGCCCTTCTTTGCAGGACTGCTCTCAAAGAGTGCTTCTCCTAGTCTGTCTTCATGTCCAGGATTGACCCAAACCGTGGAGGCCATGTTGGGTGCGCAGAGCATGCCGGGAGATGCAGTTCTCGGGCACTGGACTTCCTGGAGGCCATGTTGGGTGCCCAGAGCATGTCGGGAGATGCAGTTCTCCAGCATGGGCTTTCGGGCGGCCATGTTGGGTGCCTTTTTTGTTCAAAAACACTGCTGCAAAGCTCATGTAACCATCTCCTGATAAGTTGATAAACTAGTGTATCAACATCCTGCCTTCCTGTCTCATGCTGGGCCAACATGACCAAATAAAGAAAGAAGTTGAACCACAACGCCGAGGAAGACTACGGCCTTCATCTTCACGACCACCAGAGGGACAGAGACAACCCCCTAGCAACAGTGCGCGCAGTCGCAGAATATACCAGGATGTGCTGCGTAATCCTGAAATTACCAAGATATAAAAAGGGACCCTGGGGGGGGTGAGGTGCACGCCGTTGGCGGAGCCGAGACTCCCTGGCTGCCCAGCGCTGTTTTGCTTGCTGTTGCTTACTCAATAAATTCCTTTCTATTATTAATGCAATGCTCTCTGAAAATTATTTACGGGGGCAACTTATAACAAATTTGGTGCTGTGACTCGGATGAAGGCAAGTTGATTGAAAGACCTTCAGAGGGGTCGCCCCGCTGATTTCAGCGGCCTTCGCTTGGACTACTTTCACTCAAACCCTTCACCGACGAACCCAAGATTCGGCAGCAAGCAAATAAAGCCAGCAACCCCTAGTAATCTTTGTGCACGAAGACCGAACGAAGACTCAGGAGTGAGTAAGTATAGGCCGGTGATCCGTTCGGTTGGGGTTGGGTATCCTGGAGCGTAGCGTTGTGAGACGTCCAATTGCGGACGAAGCGAGTGCGGACCCCTCGGTAGTGCGGTTCCCACATCCCGCGGGGAACTGTGCCATGAAAAGGGGGAAGCGATTTGTGTGTGTGTGTGTGAAGGCGCTCCAGAAGATGGGACAGAAGAAGAGTAAGCCTTCTGGTCCTGTGGGCAGGGTAACGACAGATGTTAGGTTACCCCCTATTCCTCCAGATAGTCCTTTGGGATTAATGATCAAAAATTGGGATGATTCCTGTAATACACAATAAATGTTTGTTCATTGTCTTTTGTAAAAACAAGGAGTTCTGTTTGAGGAATGGGAGTTGTGAAAACTCCCTGCTGAAGTAAGGAGCTGTATAATGCTTAGCTAGACACTATGAAAATTCCTTTGCTTAATGTAACAAAAAAGAGAACCCTCTCCCCTTCTCTCCTTCTGCATCTCAGTAGCCTCTTTTGTTCAAAAGACACTGCTGCAAAGTTCATGTAACCATCTCCTGATAAGTTGTTAAACTAGTGTATCAACATCCTGCCTTCCTGTCTCACGCTGGGCCAACATGACCAAATAAAGAAAGAAGTTGAACCACAACGCCGAGGAAGACTACGGCCTTCATCTTCACGACCACCAGAGGGACAGAGACGACCCCCTAGCAACAGTGCGCGCAGTCGCAGAACACACCCGGACGTGCTGCGTAATCCTGAAATCACCAAGATATAAAAAGGGACCCTGGGGGGGGTGAGGTGCGCGCCGTTGGCGGAGCCGAGACTCCCCGGCCGCCCAGCGCTGTTTTGCTTGCTGTTGCTTACTCAATAAATTCCTTTCTATTATTAATGCAATGCTCTCTGAAAATTAATTAAGGGGGCAACTTATAACAAATTTGGTGCCGTGACTCGGATGAAGGCAATCTGATTGAAAGACCTTCGGAGGGGGCGCCCTGCTGATTTCAGCGGCCTTCGCTAGGACTACTTTCATTCAAATCCTTCACCGACGAACCCTAAATTCGGCAGCAAGCAAATAAAGCCGGCAACCCCTAGTAATCTTTGTGCACGAAGACCGAACGAAGACTCAGGAGTGAGTAAGTATAGGCCGGTGATCCGTTCGGTTGGGGTTGGGTATCCTGGAGCGTAGCGTTGTGAGACGTCCAATTGCGGACGAAGCGAGTGCGGACCCCTCGGTAGTGCGGTTCCCACATCCCGCGAGGGACTGGGCCACGAAAAGGGGGAAGCGATTTGTGTGTGTGTGTGTGAAGGCGCTCCAGAAGATGGGACAGAAGAAGAGTAAGCCTTCTGGTCCCATGGGCAGGGTAATGTCTGATGTTAGGTTACCCTGGGATTAATGATTAAAAATTGGCAGGATTCCCCTTTTAGGCGGGGAAGCAATAAAGTAAAAATGATACATTATTGTGTTGAAGTTTG